AAATCTCCAAAACTTAAATCTAACCTTGTCTTTTGCACAACTTTTACACCAAAAACCAGAACCATTAAAGAAATCATTTTTAAAACACTGGCATATACTTCAAAATGACCCAAACCTATTAGGTACCTACAGGGAGTGCAGAATTATTAGGCAAGTTGTATTTTTGAGGAATAATTTTATTATTGAACAACAACAACCATGTTCTCAATGAACCCAAAAAACTCATTAATATCAAAGCTGAATGTTTTTGGAAGTAGTTTTTAGTTTGTTTTTAGTTTTAGCTATTTTAGGGGAATATCTGTGTGTGCAGGTGACTATTACTGTGCATAATTATTAGGCAACTTAACAAAAAACAAATATATACCCATTTCAATCATTTATTTTTACCAGTGAAACCAATATAACATCTCCACATTCACAAATATACATTTCTGACATTCAAAAACAAAACAAAAACAAATCAGCGACCAATATAGCCACCTTTCTTTGCAAGGACACTCAAAAGCCTGCCATCCATGGATTCTGTCAGTGTTTTGATCTGTTCACCATCAACATTGCGTGCAGCAGCAACCACAGCCTCCCAGACACTGTTCAGAGAGGTGTACTGTTTTCCCTCCTTGTAAATCTCACATTTGATGATGGACCACAGGTTCTCAATGGGGTTCAGATCAGGTGAACAAGGTGGCCATGTCATTAGTTTTTCTTCTCTTATACCCTTTCTTGCCAGCCACGCTGTGGAGTACTTGGACGCGTGTGATGGAGCATTGTCCTGCATGAAAATCATGTTTTTCTTGAAGGATGCAGACTTCTTCCTGTACCACTGCTTGAAGAAGGTGTCTTCCAGAAACTGGCAGTAGGACTGGGAGTTGAGCTTGACTCCATCCTCAACCCGAAAAGGCCCCACAAGCTCATCTTTGATGATACCAGCCCAAACCAGTACACCACCTCCACCTTGCTGGCATCTGAGTCGGACTGGAGCTCTCTGCCCTTCACCAATCCAGCCACGGGCCCATCCATCTGGCCCATCAAGACTCACTCTCATTTCATCAGTCCATAAAACCTTAGAAAAATCAGTCTTGAGATATTTCTTGGCCCAGTCTTGACGTTTCAGCTTGTGTGTCTTGTTCAGTGGTGGTCGTCTTTCAGCCTTTCTTACCTTGGCCATGTCTCTGAGTATTGCACAGCTTGTGCTTTTGGGCACTCCAGTGATGTTGCAGCTCTGAAATATGGCCAAACTGGTGGCAAGTGGCATCTTGGCAGCTGCACACTTGACTTTTCTCAGTTGATGGGCAGTTATTTTGCGCCTTGGTTTTTCCACACGCTTCTTGCGACCCTGTTGACTATTTTGAATGAAACGCTTGATTGTTGGATGATCACGCTTCAGAAGCTTTGCAATTTTGAGACTGCTGCGTCCCTCTGCAAGATATCTCACTATTTTTGACTTTTCTGAGCCTGTCAAGTCCTTCTTTTGACCCATTTTGCCAAAGGAAAGGACGTTGCCTAATAATTATGCACACCTGATATAGGGTGTTGATGTCATTAGACCACACCCCTTCTCATTACAGAGATGCACATCACCTAATATGCTTAAGTGGTAGTAGGCTTTCGAGCCTATACAGCTTGGAGTAAGACAACATGCATGAAGAGGATGATGTGGACAAAATACTCATTTGCCTAATAATTCTGCACTCCCTGTATAAGGAACCACCAATGATAACCTATAGGAGAGGAAGGAATATTAAAGATAGAGCTTGCCAGGACCCTAATACTTCAGATAAAATCCTAATAAGCCATAACGTACAAGGTAATTTCAAGTGTGGGTCATGCATTAATTGTCAATACACCAAAAATGTAAAATCATTCAAAGACCCTATAAGTAACAAAACCATTGCAATAAAGGGCTTTATCACATGCTGAACTAAAAATGTAATCTACATGATACAGTGCCCATGCATTAAAATATATATAAGAGAAACATCCTGCCCTCTAAAAGATCGAATTAATGAACACAGAAGTTCGATCAAGAGGAATGATCTAACCAACCCTGTTGCAAGACGCTTCAATGATAAACATCCAAGTTCACCTTTATTTTTTCTTGGCATTGAAGCAATTAAACTAAACCAAAGAGGTGGTAATACTAATTTTATCCGGAAAAAAAGAGAAGCATTTTGGATATTCCGTTTTAAAAGTCTGCACCCTAGAGGTGTGAATGAGGATTTTTCTATCAATGAGTTTTTGTGAGCTTAAACCTTTTTATATTTTTAATGTTTTTATTATTATTTTTTCCCAGTTACAATATTCTCGCATGGGTAATGTTTATTTATTTATTTATATTTATTTTATCAGCAAAAGAAGGTGTAGCATTCTAGACATCTCGTTTTAAGTCTACATTTGAGAGATTTTACATTGTAGAGACATAAATGAGGACCTTTCCACAAATGTGTTTTCATGTTATGACTTCCTCTTGTTTCTTAACTGCTGCACCAACCTCCTTATTTTTTTATGAAATGCTGTCATTTGTAACCATTTTATGTTTTTTTTTTGTTTGTATATTCATAATATTCTTTTTATGTATTTCACACGTGTTATTTTGAGACAGCTGGGGATTATGTCCCTTATTATTGATGATTATCTTCATCATTAATGATCTAGTCCAGTATGTTTACTTGGGTGTGACTTAACCAAATACCAACCTGTTATACATTATCTTATCTATCTATGAAGATGTGATTGGTTATTTTGAATTTTTTTCTGTTTCCTGTCTTTTAGTTAAGCAAACTTCTACAATATTTTACTATGACCCTGATGAAGGCCACAAGCCGAAAAGCGTTGGTCACATAATAAAGTTGTTCCTCTTCCCTTAAGCGTTGCGGGAGTTCCTGCATTGTGAATTGTTTCATCCTCTCCATGCACCTTGGAAGTAGGTGAAGTTGTGCCAGAAACTTTTTCTGTGATTCACACAAAGGCCCTCGCCAGATGTTAGAATCAAACTCAAGAACATTCTGTGAAGCAACAGTGCTAACTACTGTGCCACCATTCTGCCCATGACGAATATAATGAGTGTATAAATTAAATAAATAGATCACAAAAGAACCATAAAGAACAGGTATAAATGAAGAAGAACATATTACAGATAGTATACAAGAATTAATTATTACGTTTCAGGAGGTCCCTCAAAGGTGCCGTGGATATCTGACCTCCCATTCTATGCCCAGCTGTTAAAAACCTCATAGGGCAGAACAAACATCTCCTTCTCTGTTTTTCTCTTTTGTTCTTTTGGAAAAATTTGTGTCCACAAAGGTGTTTTCCAGACATGCCTGTTGACAAAAATGACCAGCTGCCCAGGGAGTAATGCTTAATGAACTTTTCCCCTTGTTTTTGTGGCTGTTGCTGTGGGCACTGCTGCTATTCTATTGTCGTTGCTGTTTTTCATATTGTGACCCTGCTGACCCCTCTCTGAACGGAGCCTCTTGTTTTCTCTTTTCTGAGCTCCTGGCTGTTGTGAGTCAGGACCTCTCTGGAAAGGCGATGGTCCATCCATAGCCCTATTGATGACAGTTCATCAGCATGCAGGGGGGACTGCTGCAGTCACCACAGAAACCACATACACCCAACCTCTTCAAATCCCAAGGCTTTAATCTTCTACTGTGATTCGATTCCACTGCTCTCTATTTTTTCCTTTTCATGAGAAATATTTATTTAAATAACAAATTGACAGAATGTGTTATTGTAATAAAGGCACTTTAATTTTGTTTCTGAGGATTAATTATACATCTGCATAGGTGAAGGGGTGAGGGGTTGTATGGGCAAATTGTATGGGTCCCTACAAATGTTTTTCAAAGCCTTCATGTTAAAGTAGGAGCTTGAAAGCTCATTTCTCACATGAAAATCATGACATGATATGATTATTCAATTCAATTCAATTTTATTTATATAGCGCCAAATCACAACAAAAGTCAGCTCAAGGCGCTTCATAGATACAGAGAAAAACCCAACAATCAAATGACCCCCTATGAGCAAGCACTTTGGCGACAGTGGAAAGGAAAAACTCCCTTTTAACAGGAAGAAACCTCCGGCAGAACCAGGCTCAGGGAGGGGCGGCCATCTGCTGCGACCGGTTGGGGTAAGAGAAGGAAGACAGGATAAAGACATGCTGTGGAAGAGAGACAGAGGTTAATAACAGATATGATTCAATGCAGAGAGGTCTGTTAATACATAGTGAGTGAGAAAGGTGACTGGAAAGGGAAAAACTCAATGCATCATGGGAATCCCCCGGCAGCCTACGTCTATTGCAGCATAACTAAGGGAGGATTCAGGGTCACCTGATCCAGCCCTAACTATATGCTTTAGCAAAAAGGAAAGTTTTAAGCCTAATCTTAAAAGTAGAGATAGTGTCTGTCTCCCGAATCCAAACTGGAAGCTGGTTCCACAGAAGAGGGGCCTGAAAACTGAAGGCTCTGCCTCCCATTCTACTTTTAAATACTCTAGGAACAACAAGTAGGCCTGCAGAGCGAGAGCGAAGTGCTCTAATAGGGTGATATGGTACTACAAGGTCATTAAGATAAGATGGGGCCTGATTATTATACAGCCACCGGTAACTTTCTTTAGGTACACTTGCTCATACCAGATGGGACTCCTTTTACCTTCAGAACTACCTTAATTCTTTGCGGCATAGATGCAGCAAGGTTCACATTCATCAACTGTACAGCCAAATCTTCTATTCCATCATATCCCAAAGATGCTTTCTTGGACTTAGAGCTTGTGACTGAGCTTGTGACTGTGCAGATCATTTAAGTACCCTGAAGTCACTGTCATGTTCAGGAAACAAGTTTAGAGATGTTCTTAGCTTTGAAACTTTAAGCTGGAAGCTGAGTGTATTCAGTGAAAATAAAGTGTTAAAGATGTACAATTATCGTTAAAATAAACAGAATGTAAAACATTGTCATCAAAGTTAAATTGACCGATGAAGTTTATGGGATTTTCCTGCTCGCTTCCCTCAGGCCAGCTGGTAGCAGGGACCTGTGAGATTGTGACTCTGGACCGTGACAGCAGCCAGCCCAGGAGGACCATCGCACGGCAGACAGCTCGCTGCGCCTGCAAGAAGGAACAGATTGCTGGTACGACGAGAGCCAGACCAGCCTGTGTGGATGGTAAGATCCTCACTGTCCTCAGACGACTGCTGCTGACTGGTGAATACGATGAATAATATATAAAAATATATTATGTTAAATAAGACAATCAGTGAATCAGGAAAAAAAGTTTACATTTTGAATATCAAACTGTAAAAAGAGGTAGAAAATGCCAGGTTTCATTTAACACCTTTTTGGCTACCACAAATGAACTAAGGAAATCCCAAAAAGTTGGTTATGTTCATCTGGACTCAGCGTTTTTAGTGTCTTCTTCAGTCTCAGCTGACTGCAGGTTTCCCCAACCCTATAATCAGCACAGTTACATGATGACCAAAACTTGCTCCATGACTAACAATGCGCTGTGAGGTCAGTTTTGTGAGTATGAATATGCAAATTTATATGCCCAGTGATCAATGGCAATGAGAACCATTCACAGAGAGTTGAGGAATGGGTCCAATCATAGCATTGTAAGTAAGTAAAAGATGTACCATTAAGTGTAATTTGTGTACACAAATGTGTCCATCTGTGTAGACATTTTTGTTCAGACAGGGGAGAGAGGTTTTTACCTACTCCAATCGACTAACTCCGTGTCACTGGAACTGGGTAACATATGCATTTTTCAGATTGTGGGAACAGAGCTCCGGCAGGAAGACAGCCTTTTCTTCGTCTGCCAGCAGACTCTGAACATGCTCTCCTTGCTGAACCATAAGGCCTCGGCCTCTGGTCCAAGATGGATGTTACCTTTTCACATAAATGGCTTCCATAACTCTTTGCTCAATCAAGCTTTGGAGTTTGAAAGCCACAGAGACTCATTGCTATTGATCAATGGTTACACATATGTCAATGATCGTGAAACCGACCTCATATTAGCAGTGGCATTTGTTTTGGTCATAATACAAATGAATCCAAAAAAAAAAAGCTTTGAGGCTGAATAGCAAACAGTAAAACAAACAGAAACGTTGGCCTGGTTTAATTTGACAACTTTTTAGCTGTTACAAATGAACTTAAAAAAAACTGGTTTCTTGTGTAGAAGTAACATTACATAACAGTGCGCTATACAAAAGTACTGCTTGCTGAAGGCACTTGGATGAGTGATGAAATATGTCTCCCACTGAGCACGCCACATCCAGATGAACAGAATCCGCTTTCTAGGATATAACTTAACTCATGGGAATAACATGTTTCTGTGTTTGGATACAAATTTCTGTACTAAATTTACAGCTATAACATATGAAGGGTTAGCTGGATGACAAGATGAGCGTGCTTTTATAGCAAAGCTCTGACAGTATTGGTGATCTTACTTTTATTTGCTTATCTATAATCTTTGATTTGACTTTTCTATATTTTTTATTATGTTTACATTTGTTTATGTTTGTTTGAGCATTTGCTTTTGTCATTTCCTGTTTTTTGTTTGTTTTGTTTTTTATTGTATTTGTATAATTTATTTTTAGAGCATGCTATGGTAAATCTGTTTGCTATGGCTGGCTGCATCTGTCTAATAGAATACTAGATAATAAAAGTGCAGTTGTGGTCAGAAGTTTATGTAAACTCATTATAGTTATTTGAGACTTTTATTTCTTTGAACTGTTTTTTTTCCAGGATGGAATGATCTTACAGCACGCATCTTTATTTACTTTAAATTTGTATTGCTCATGTTTGGGTTTATTTTGGATTTTCTCTAATCTATACAGGGTCAAAAGTATACATACACGTTTAAAATCTGTATATATGCATTCAGTTAAGTCTTTTAATAAGTGGTGTTGAAGATTCCACAATGATTTTTAATTTGACGATGCCTATTAAATTCTCTTTAGTCATCGCGATTGACTACAACTGGTAGTTTGTCAACATAAAAAGGACTTGTTTGACAGTATTTACTAGCTTAAGAACTTCAGATACAGGGTATCATTTAATTTCAAATTTGTTGGAATAGGTCTCCAATAGATATTTACTAAAATAATATAACATACTGTGAATAATTGTTTTTCTAGGAATATACAAAAAAAAAGACACAGGTATCGAACTCCAGGCCTCGAGGGCCGATGTCCTGCAGGTTTTGTGTCTTTGATCCAACACAGCTGATTCAAATGGCTAATTTACCTCCTCAGCATGTCTTGAAGTTCTCCAGAGGCCTGCTAATGAACTAATCATTTGATTCAGGTGTGTTGACCAAGGGTGAAATCTAAAACCTGCAGGACACCGGCCCTCGAGGCCTTTAGTTCGACACCCCTGTTCTAAGACAACAGATCAGTCCAGTACTTCTATTTTATGAGAAAACATAAGTGAAGCTTTCACTCTTCCAATTGTCTTCTTGAATGTGGAGTTCAGAAAGTCACTGCCTAGATGGATAAAGCCCAAAGTTTCTTTGCATTTCATCAGTAGCTGTCTCCTCTTTTGTCACGGCGTTTTGTATCCGTTTTAATTTGTATTCCTTGATTATTGTTATTCATGGTTTTGAGTTTGGTAGATGGTTTTCTGTTCATATTAAATTTATTGTGTTTTTTAGCTTCTAGTTACGGTCTCTGTGTCCTCCCTTTGCTCCACATTTCATTTCTTGCCTCCATGTTCCCTCTGTCTCCCCAGTCAGTCATGTCTCTCTGGCTACGTTCACACTGCAGGCGAAAGCGCAAGTTTGTATTTTCTCTTGTAATCTTAGGTTAAAAAAAATATCTGCAGTTCTTGAGGGAAAAAAACTTTATTTAAAAATCAACTTTATTTAAAATTTAGATATTTATCTCATTATTTACTGGTTAACAGGAATAGAACTACAAGTTAAAAATGAAAAAGCATGACATCTTTGAGACCACAAACAAAGATTCTTTACAGTGTTCACACAAAACAACCTCTGAGCACTATATTTTTTAACACCAGACACTGCCCATCACCTGCTAATAGCATCCCTGTAGTGAATAGTGGAATACTTCAAGAAAACCTGCTCCAGAGCAGAGACTCAGGTGATGACATACCTTTCACCACCACAGTATCCTATTAAAACTGGTGTCTGTGTCCACGTAAAAGTTTAGCACAGATTTTTTAATTTCTAGCAAATTAAAAAACAAAACAAAACAAAAAAACCCTTTCTCAGTGTACTGTCGATGTGTCCACTTTAAAGTTTAGCACGGATTTTTTGTTTGCCTCATTTGCACTTCAGTCCTAACGTGTTCTTTCTTGTAGGATTGTCTCATTCTCAGAGACAAAGGAGCAACCCTCCTTCAGGTCACCCTCTTTGATGAATGAAGTCATTACAAAATGGCCTCCTCGCTTTCTGGATAAATGAACTGTGCTTGGCGGTGGTGGATGGATCTGCATTGCAGTCATTAATTTGTCAGAGTAGTGATGCAGCGCTCACAGGTGTTCGGGTACTTACCGATACATGCTATTAATCCACTGATTCTCCATTTCACACTATTGATTCAAAGTCTCTTTCCTGTTTTCTACACTCTGCAACGTAATTCACCTTGAAATGCATTCATCCATCCTGTGCTGTTATTGGTTAGACATTAAGAGACTTTCAGGGGAATGTGGTATACATGAGGAAATAAAAACTACTAATTTAAACAAAAATTTAGTAAGAAATTCAATCATTTTTTTGATCTAAAAATCTAAAGTTTTGAAACCCCCTTTTTTTAAAACAATGCAGACATAATAATAGTAAGCAGATATTTAGAAAGCAATTCATGTTTTAGATTTAAATAACTAGGCTCTAATACAGTGTCTGATTATTATCAAATTACTGAACTTACAAAAAGCAAACCTCTAAGTGAAGCATTCCTATTATGTTCAAATTTTGTGTTGATCACTTTCTGTAAGTCTAGTTGTGGAAATCTTCACGTACAATTTCATCTTGGACGTTAAACTTGTGAGGAGGTCAACTTTGATGTTGAACTGACCCAAATTTCATGTCAAAGACAGATGCTAGTGCTGACAGCTTGGTCTCTGCCCATGATCCTGAGACCAAAAAAGGTTTTTTCAAGAGTAAGAGTCAAAATCCAAAGATGCTGCATTAAGTCAGGAGCACGACTGAGCTCACACTTAGTTTTTCCAAATTCATGGAGCTATGGACCATGAAACTGTCCTCCATCCATCCTCTTCTGATTTTCTTCATTCATCAGCTCCTCAAGGTACTCCTTCCATCTTTTTAACACAGTCTTCTCACTGCTCATCTCAATAGCCACATCGTTAATCACCCTAATCTTCTGCACATCTTTTCCAGCTTGATACAAGTCCTTTACTCCTCAACATCACATACAACTCAATATAAGCCTTTTCCTTTGTCTTTGCTACCTCTCTGTTTCCCATACGCCTAAACTCCCAGTACTCTTGTCTACTTTTTTCATCTCTTTGGCTAATCGACTTTTTCTTTGCTTTTTCCTCTTCCTTCAGATCCTTTCCTTTGTTTGGTCATACCATACCAAGTCTGCTTGTCTTTGTTCCTTTTTCCAGAGGATACATCAAATACCGTGTTTCCCTCAGCACTTCAGGGGTACTTTCCCAGTCATCTGGTAAATGGCCTGTATTTGTATAGCGCTTTACTAGTCCCAAAGGACCCCAAAGTGCTTTACATATCCAGTCATCCACACATTCACACACTGGTGATGGCAAGCTACATTGTAGCCACAGCCACCCTGGGGCGCACTGACAGAGGCGAGGCTGCCGGACACTGGCGCCACCGGGCCCTCTAACCACCACCAGTAGGCAACGGGTGAAGTGTCTTGCCCAAGGACACAACGACCGAGACTGTCCAAGCCGAGGCTTGAACCAGCAACCTTCCAATTACAAGGCGAACTCCCAACTCTTGAGCCACGATCGTGGTAACCACTCAGAGCCCATCTCAACTCCTCAATGAACTCTGTGCAATATTTTTCCTTCCGCTTCCACCAATTTATCCTTAACTTTAGAAATCAAGAAGAAGGCGAAGTCATCCTACACACTACAGATGATATTGCTAGTATACATTCAATATGACAACAAATGATTTTTCATTTATTCCTATTAATGATACCAGGAACAAGAAAATACACTCCATTTCCAACAAAGGCCAGAAATCTTTATAGAGATTTATATTTTAAATTACAACCATACTAATCTTTGTAATTTTTCCTAAACCTAAATTCTAATAATAAGATTTTCAATAAAAATGAGCTGCTGAAGCTGAACTGTTTCCTCCTCCTGAAGGATCTCTCCATCTGGATAGAGGTGTGAGGGGATGTAAGAATGGCTGAGCAATGCTACTGTTGTTCAGTAGGAAATTGGTTTGATAATTGGGGACTCACAGGCTATCACAATCACACCACTGCTCCAATGGGCGAACTGATTACCAGGTTATGTATTACAGGCCTCTACAGTCTTTCATTTTCTTTGTGTTTCCCCAGACATGGCTCAGAGTGTGTGTAATTTAGTGCCAGGAATGAGAGCAAGAACTGAAAGACTGGATCAGTAAAGAATCACTTCAAACAGCAGGAATATCCCTGCAAGTGAAGTGGTGTGTGTGTGTGTGTGTGTGTGTGTGTGTGTGTTTTCCACATAGTGCTGATAACTCAGGTCATTCTATTTTACATAATATATTAGAATATATTATATGGCATGTCATAAGCTTTGTTCATGCTATGTCATGCTACATTAATTATGCACACTGCATTAGATTACCTTTATGTTGCATTTATTGGCCACAACATTAAACCCACTTGCCTGGTAAGTAACCCTCATGCTCCCACAGCTGCTTTCACTTGTCCAGATATGCACTCTGCAAGACCTCTTAAAGATCTACTGTAATAGTATTAGCAGCACATCCTTTAAGACCTTTAGGATATTTAATAAGATTGTGATTGGGGGGATTTTTAGGTTAAACCTCTTATGTTCTTTGTTATGTTTTTGAAGGAGATTTTTATTGTTGTTGTTGTTGTTGTTGTTGTTGTTGTTGTATGCCCAAGAGAGAAAAAAATAACCCTCACAATAAAATCTAGAAAAGAATGTCTACAAAAAAAAAAGAACCAAAGTGTTCAAATGGCCCAGGCGATGTGCAGACCTCAACCCAACTGAAATATTGTTGCATTTAAACAGATGACGCAAACCTCAATGAACTGAAACAATTTTGTAAAGAGGAGTGGACCAAAATCCATCTATCACTCAATGATGACATTGTAAAGAAAATGGTTACTTTGAGTTATTGCTGCTAAAGATGGTTTTACGAGCTGTTGAATTATGAGCAAAGTTTTAAACTGGACTCCAGTTTCTTTGAAAACTTTTTCACATGTCGTTAGCTGTAGAGTGTAGAGTGACTGCTTTTGCCTTTCATTCTGATCATCTGGTAAGGCCCAAATTACCATGATATTTATGCACATGATGAGTGCATGTAAATGTCTGACTAATGTTCATCTTTATTTATTTTTACCCTTGACACCTTTTCCTCACATTTCCTTTGCATAATGAGAAACATTAAATTATTTTGTGTTGTCCACTTATAGTGTTTAATTGAAAACACATACAGCTGTTAATAACAGATGTTTGATGGTCTTCTTTCGACATGATCCAGAGTCACACACATCTGACTGAAAATGCTGGACAGAGGTTAACTATCACAGAACCCTTGTTACTCTACATCTGCTGCAACATTGTTTTAAAGGGTTATTTCACCAATGTTTACCATAAAGCCCTTGGTATTTCTTGTTATATTTTGTATGTGTATCTTAATAAAATTGTCAATGTTCTGTAAAGACTGTGCATGAGTAGCTTGGTATGTTCAACAATTATTTACACTCTATGCAAACACTGCAAACTCGGAGTGCCATTGCAGAATATAGATTACAGATTATGTAGAATTTTCAAATACAGTTGTGTATCTGCACTTATTTCTTCATTATTAACAGTAGGAGTAAAAGGAGAAACATCAACAAGAATAAAATCATCATTTATGATAAAGGAGATGGGGGGGTTGTTCAGCCATAAGATGCTGATGAAAAAACACAAATAACGTAAAAACTTAAAATTGAAGCTCAAGCATACTTACCTCTTCTTCCTCTTGTCGTCCTCCTCAGTTCGTATCATCACGAGTCGACAGTGGTGTGAGATGACTCCATGCTTAGAGGATGAAGGCTGTAATCTCCTGGTCAATCAGTCAGGCTGGACCTGTACTCAACCAGGAGGCAGAGTGAAAACCACCACGGTGAGAAAACAAGCTTAGCTGACAAATACAAACACACTTACCACTGAAAAAATGGTGATTTGAACATATTTGCAAAACATACTGGAAATTGATTTCACCACTTTAGCTGCATGTAGTAACAGAAAGTATAGAAGCAAAACCTGTTGTATTGTTCAAGGAGTCATCCTATTTTTACAAAACTGTGAATCACAGAGTTTAAGTAAGCTCCAAACATGGGAACTTAAATTGTAAGAATGAAGAAAGCTGTACACCCTACCTCAGGTGTGCAGTCTTTATTGGTGCAAGTTTACTGTGAAGGAGGAGCTATTTTTTCCCCCCAGTTGTCAACAGCCTTCCAACAGATGTAATTTGGAGTAATCATTTTATAATTTTTTTCTCTTTTAAATACCTTATGAAAAACAAATTCCCATATTTCATACACAGTTCAGCTTTGTTGTCCATGAAAAATATAATGTCAGGTTCACCGTGAGTCTTGTCAAAAGTAATTTTGAGAATTATATTAACAATCCTTGAGCAGAAACTGGAAAAAAAAAACAACCCAACAATAATGAGTTAAAACAGGGAACATTTTTGAATTAATATAACTTCATTCTTCCCATCTGAATGTTCATTGGTCTAATGAAGATCTAAATTTGTGTTGTTCAGGTTTTTTTTGTTTAATTCATTACAATCTTCAGCTACTTTTACCCATGTTTTTGTAACAGAATGAAATTAACCTGGTTCAACAAATTAAGTTTCTGTTTATCGAGTTTTTAACAAGGCTGGTTAAGTAGCAGCACTCAAATGCATGATTCAGAAACACAAAGGGTAAATTAAAGGTAGTTTCATTAAACTAAAAAGTCCAAAACAAGGAAAATCCAAACTTCACAGCAGAGAGCACAAACTGCAAGGGAAGACACAACCACAAGGCACTACATTACAAACAATATATACACATCAGGGAAACACCAGGGAACATAGCTGAATGGAATCTGATTAACGAGACAAGGGGACCCAAAACTAAACGCAATCCACTCGAGATGAGGGGCTATCAAAATAAAACAGGAAGTAACAAAGACTGAGACCAGTAATAAAACATATGAACGTGATACAGTGACAGGCAATAAATAAACATGAAGACATGATTGACTGACGAGACAGAAAGGGAAAGATGATGATAACAAAAGGCTACATAACCTTATAAAAATACAGACTGGAACCAAAGGGAGACAAACATAATCCATGAACCAGAAATATAGATAACAATCTCAGAGGCACAAGGAGGAACAAACCTCAAAAAAGTTCAAAGAGCTTGAACATAAATCCTCTCTTACTGTAAAAAAATAAATAAATAAAATAAAAGAAGAATGATGCGTCCACAATAAATTTCAAATCAATGGGTCAAAGACTCAGCACCATGATAGTTTTTCGTTGTATGATTGTTGGGTTCATTCAACTTTTCCTGAGGTAATATCATTCAGTACCATGGAGACAAAAATAATTTAAGACCAAAGCCTTCTAGTTTTTGATGCCCCGTAGCTCCTAATTATAGCTCTTGTAATTATTTCCATTTTTAACAGTAATTTCAACAAATGCTGTTCAGTCTTTTTTTCCTTTTCAGACAATTGCAGGCAAAATATTTCAGCTTTCAGTACTCACATGTAATGTTTGCCAGAAAATTCATTCAACACTGATTTTAATCTGTCTCTCTTCTTACTCTTGTCCCATTGCTTTCCACACCTTTGTTGTAGATACACTATTTACACCAATGCTGTCATTTTTTCCAGTAAACCTTTTATGCCTTTAAAAATAAAATAAAAAACCCGGAAAAACCATAAAAGATCCTTAAAATTCCTTCTCCATTCAAGTAAATGAGAAGGCTACAGTAAAGAAAAGTTGAAACAACCTCCTTTTTAATTTCCGCTCCCCTGACCACATTTTTAATGCTAAGCAAACAAAACAATTATTCAGATCTGCACACTTTAAAGCACCTCAATAGAATTTGTGGCAAATCTAGATGAGCATAAACATGTTTTACAGTTAAAGAATATGAAACTGTTAATGCTATGAACCTTTTAAAAAATTAAAGCCCCTTCTTAATTTTAGAAAAATAAAAGTATGCTCAGAATATCTCTGATTTTAAAAATGTTAAATGTTGCCAGTTAGCTATTGGAGTTCATGACCATGTTAAGATAAGCCTCAAATTAAATTTGCTTTTCAACCTTTTACAATAGAAATGTCAATTTCTGTTTCTCTCCAGATGTTTTAAACCAGTTTAAAGGAGGAACATCACAGTTTTAAATATTTAACACAAGAACCAAGACGGAGGTCATTTTGAGGCCATTTTAAAAATAGTGTAACTCTCTGCAATTAAACTCCATGATCTCATGTTTCATTACTTTTTCAAAAATTGAATTATTCATTATATAGTGAATTTGGGGGTAATAGGGATAGAAAGATGACAATGTCATTTTGACCATATAGAAATTGGTATAAAAAGGTAATTTTGCCTAGCCAGACTGCCTAGCCACACCTAGGTTGCTGGTTGCACAGAGCAGCAGGGGAGCCATAGATGAAGTGAGCAGAAGTCGGACAGGTTTCAGTCCCAAACAGGAGAAAAGCTGAGAGGCTCAAAGGCTGCCGACTGAGGTGCAGCACTGTGGATGCTTAATGAAAGAGAAAGGCTGCATGTCCAATGAAGCACAGGCAGTTGTAGATGGTGTGAGAAACTTTTACTGTTGTACTTTTACAGTAAATAATGTATTAAAATGTGTCCTAATTTTGAGGTCAGTTTTAAAATGCAGACAATGACCTGTTCAATAAATTTAGCAGTGAGAGTTTTTCTTCATTTATTGTTGTAGTTTTTTTTGTTTTTTTTTTTAGTGTAACTAATGCCACCTGTTATCCAAAATTCACTTTTGACTTTTCCATAATTATCTTCTTCTATATCAATTATTTAGATGTAAAATTTGCTTATTGGTGAATTTTACATACATACAATACATATTTACCTTTATGATGTGTAATGAAATAACCATTCGTGAAACCTACGACATTTTCAGAAACTTAATCTTTAATACTTATTTTGTCTAATCTTGCTTATGAATAGAAAAAATATGAAAATTAACAGCTTAACGTCTTCAAGAAATGACCTCTTTGGCATTACAGTTGTTGCTATGGGATGGGATCTCTACATCAAGCATCCCACATCAACCCTCTCCATGTTCTCCTTCACTCCTGCACATCCATAAACCTTCCTCCTCCTTACCAGCTGCATATTCAACATCCAGCCCTCTGCACATGCCCAGACCGTCTCAACCCTGCCTTTCTAAGTTTGAGTCCTAACTGCTCAACCTGAGCTGCCCCTCTAATATTCTCATTTCTAACCTTTTCCATTGAGGAACTTTTACTTTACAGCCATAATTTTACCCTCAGATCACAGAGGAAAAAGTTTTCTTTCTAACAAGGTTTTTTTTTTTTTAAGCCAACAGATGTAGACTTTTTGAACTGGAGGAATGTGAGTGAGGGGAAAACTACCTAATATATCTTTATTATATTATATTATATTATATTATATTATATTATATTATATTATATTATATTATATTATATTATATTATATTATATTATATTATATTATCATGGACTTTTGGAGAAAGACGGAAAGCTTTTTTTTATCTAATTTATCTCAAACATGCTTACAAAAAACAAACATACCTAGAGAAACTTCTTGGGATCTTCCAAATTTGTAAAACAGACGTCGGGCTAGCGATTTTGCAAGCCCTGTATCTGATTGAGGAATCACTCATCTTTGGAAAAGAGAGTTTATTACAGAGAAATGGCTCTTTCCAAAATAAAAGCTATACTATACGCTTCTTCTGGGCTATATTCTCAGCAGCATATTGTATGTAGCGGGTCAGGGCTGTTCGGGGTTCTGTTTGTACAGTTATGTTTTGTTTATGTTGCCATAGTGACGGGTGACGCCCTCTCGCTGCGACGGTGTGTCCTTCCGGGGGCAGAGGGCGCCCTGTGTGTTGTTGTTGTTGCTGTGCGGTTGCTGCGCTGAGTAGTTAGCTAGCGGCAGTGTTCTTCTACAGATGTCAATAAACGGCTGTGCTCCCTGGCTAGCTCACGGGAAGCAATACCAAACGACACCTCCGTCTCCTCCTTGTCTGAGCTCGCCACATTGGTGTCAGAAGTGGGATGATGGTGGCACCCCATGTTCTGACCCTAATGACTTTTCCCCGCCGGTCGTGACCGGCCGGTGCGCCAGAAGAAGGCACCTGGACATTTGCAGGACTTTGTGTGGGGTAATGGGGTCGTCGGGGACGACTGACCCCTTAGGTGGGGGCTATGTAGCGGGTCAGGGCTGTTCGGGGTTCTGTTTGCACAGTTATGTTTTGTTTATGTTGCCATAGTGACGGGTGATGCCCTCTCGCTGCGACGGTGTGTCCTTCCGGGGTCAGAGGGCGCCCTGTGTATTGTTGTTGCTGTGCGGTTGCCGTGCTGAGCAGTTAGCTAGCGGCAGTGTTCTTCTGCAGATGTCAATAAAGGGCTGTGCTCCCTGGCTAGCTCACGGGAAGCAAGACTAAACGACACCTCCGTCTCCACCTTGTCTGAGCTCGCCACAATATTAAACATATCAGGTCCCCATAAGGAGAATCATGTGCTAACGGCTGTCTAAATGACTCGGGTAAAGTTTGTAGCATGCATGCTTGTTGTTTTTGTCTTCTTCCACTTGTCTTTGCACTAGGATGATGTCGGTGTAAATGTGCAGTCATATTCGTTGTGTTCCCACTAGCGCTGTCAGCGTTAATCTCGTTGAAATGACGTTAACGCCACAACACGGCAAATCTCAGTGCGTGGGGCTAAACGGCCAACACATTAACGAGCTAACTGCGCTAACACACTAGTGCGTGGCACATCCAACATATGCCATGGTCCTGGGCCATGTGGGCCCAGTATTCTTAGTTTTCATGTATTTTTGTATTTCGTTCCTTATTTAGGCCATGTTTCCTGAG